GGGACTAAATGAAAGTATAATTTAAGGCCTTTGAAACTTAAAGAGCTAAAAGGAAATACAGTATTAACATTGTATCACTCAAGTTTAAAATACTAAAGGTCCCTCATAATCTGTTGATATTGCAACCTTATCCCCTTGTCGGCTTGTCCAGTTTATCTTTTACCCTTATCTTTGCCACTTGCAACAAATTGGACACAGCCAAAACTCAGGTAGGGCCTTTCTAGTTCTAACTTACAAGAATACAAATAAATATCAATTTTATTTTCCAATTAAAGATAATAAAAAAAATTAAAAAACCTCCTACCCAAAAGTTAATCGAGCCACATTGGGCTGGCCTTTTGTTATGCCAGATCTTTCACTAGTTATATGGGGAAATAACTTTGTCATCCCAAAATTTAGTGATATTATTCTATTCTATAAAATAGTTTTAATTTAAAAGTATAGGATGAAAATGTCACTTTTGAAAACTACTGGACAAAAGAAAAACTGTCCGAGACATCAAGGATGAAAATGTTATTTCCCAAAATATTTAATAACCAATTCCCCCAATGAGAGCTACATGCAAGACAGGAAAATGACCTAGTTGCTCCATGATTCTCATTACATGCTATTTGAGAGAAGTAGCTTATGAAAAGCAAGTAATCTAACTGAATTATGAATATTATTAAATGTACTGTTACTGTACCAGACAGTTGTATCTATACAAATTCAATAACACTCTTTCTTTCTTTTTTTTCTTCTTCTATTTTTGCTATGACAGACAGACAGACAGAGAGATATCAAGAGGCAGTGCTTTTGTTGCTGTGATCATCAAGCCAAGAAATGATATCACTAAAAACTCTAATAATCATGTCATCCGGCTCACCCTCCAAAAGAGAATGATATGCATCCTTATAAAGAATGAACTTCTTGTCCTTATGGCTTGCTTTCTCATACAAGGCTTTGCTCACAGATGGGTCGGTCACGATATCAGCCTCACCATGCAAGATTAATAATGGCAGAGACACCTGCAATGCCAGTTACCCAACACAACTTATTCAAAAATGAGCTCAAGCTTGTTCACGAAATAATATATATATATATATATATATGTGTGTGTGTGTGTGTGTGTGTGTGTGTGTGCGTGCGTGTGTGTGTGTGTGTGTGAGAGAGAGATGAACACAATTGGTAGCATTAGAGTGGTGTTATTGATGTGTACTGATTCAACCATCTCTGGTTGGTTATAGACTGTAGGCTGCAGCATTTTGTTTGATATGATGATAGTACAATTTTTTTCCAAGGGATATTGACTGTGAACATTAATTAGCACATTTTCTTTGATAAGATGATCGAACAAGTTTTTCCAAGGGATATTAATAAGCACATTTTGTTTGATACAACAGAACAATTTTTTCTCCTGGAGATTAATGCAAGAATAATTGGACCAAGGGTCAAAGAACTAATGTGGCTTCAAATCATAGGAGCTAGTGATCACCAGTATGCTCATATTGGCAAAGTTACCGTTGTGATCAAAGCTCATATCAAATCATCAATTTGGGATCCATTTTTGGATTTTCCAAGAAAAAAAAAGATGCAGGTTTGTTGAAAGTCAATCAGAATGTAAGGTTATCAAACCAAGGTAATTAAGACAATCAAGCTTAAATTTATTGAAGGAGCTTGAACAAGGATCTTTGGCAAAAAAAATTATGTTGGTGGAAGGCAGCTTGAATCATGGCATAATATGTTCTATCATTTACAGAGTAATATGAGGCGTCATATTACAGGTTTTTTGCATACTATTGTCCATTGCTCTCACCAGCCATAATCTTCTAATATATCTTACAGGAATTGATTAATAGGAGTGTATTTGACAAATGTGTACTTCTGTTTTTCTCTCTCATGACCAAATCAAAACCTATTGAGGTTGTCAGTTATGCTAACATACGAGGGACCTCATTAACAGTGACTCAAAAGTTATAATAAATTCCAACTAACTAGACATGCTCATGAAAAGTTGACTGACGACCCCTATTGCCTATGTTAGCTGAAAGAAAGATGAGGGAACACCTCATAACCTATGTCCAAGAAATAAAGGTTTGAGAAGCAAGCAAGCTTACTGCATTCCAAGCCAAAAAGGGGGAATTATATGAAATTTCACATAATTTTGTAAAAGACCAAAATTAGCTTACCTTTTCCAACTGATGTTCTATCTCTTGAGTAGTTCTGAGCAACTCCAAAGCACTCTGCAAGCGTGGTTTATCCTTGTAAGCAATAACATTATAAGATGTCTGCATCCAGAGAAAAGAACAGAAGTATATGAGCCACTCATTCAGCAGAAAAAAATACTGAGTCTATAATCGACAAGTGGATTGCAGAAAGGGTTAAAAAAATGCAGTAGGGAGAGGAAAAAAAAAAAGACTGTTACAGCATGACATACGAATTCTATGGCTCCAACCATTTTATTTGCTACAAAGCCAGAAATAACACGTGCTATAATAGTAATCCTTGAAATAATCTGTTTAAGTGAAGAGACAAACCATCTCTCTCTTCCTCAAATCTCTAAATGCTGCCTCAGCCAAATTCTTTTGTGGAACCAACTTCTGCTTTGGAAGAAGATAAGCTATAACAATCAGCAATTGTTTTACTAAAAATGGAGGAACCATTTCATCTGCAATCTACACCAAAATTTGAGTTAACATGAGAAAATATAACTAACAGGGTGTCTAGGGTAACTGGATTCAAGAAAATACTTTGCACATAGGTGCAACGAGCACAGCACCGCTCCATGCATTAGGTTGTTTCAGGTGCACCTTCAGCGCTACGGCTCCACCCAAAGACTGTCCAAAGAGGAAACTTGGCAGAGCACGATACTCAGGGTTCTCTACATTGCAAATCATGCAAATATAAACATCAAAAACAGGCCAATGAGGAAACAATTGTATCTTGTTAAGATTCTACCAAGAAAACTCATTCAATAACAAATTAAACAATTGAGTACATGAATTAATCTAATTGCTAACAAAAAAGAAGAGTACAAATCAGCAAATGGAGTTCTACTCCCAAGAAAAAATTTCATGACCATTGAAGATAAAGCAAAAGGATTCAAAGGTAACAGCATAAAGGTACCTTTGACTTTGGAATAATGCTCAACGACATCATCAACAAGCCTATCAAAGCTGGGAATATAGCCATGAAGACCTTCTGAAAGACCAAATCCTGGGTAATCCATTGCAAAGACTCCATATCCAGATGATGCCAACTTCCTTGCAATTCCTACAAAGATGCCACAAAACAATTAGGCTTCAATTATCACAAGAAGCCCAAGACTACAAACAGAAAAAATGCTAATTCTTGCTCTGACTACATGCCTTCAAAGAAAAATGTGCAAGTGTCTCCATAACCATGACAAAAACACACCACTGCTTTGGGTTGAGAGGTCTCCGGAAGCCAACTCTTTGAGAAAATTTTCAGTCCTCTAGAATTCACCTCATACGACTATGCCACAGAATATCAAGCGACCCATTATTAGTTACAAGAAGACTATAGCAAAACTTTAAAACACACACAGAGAAACAAAAAAAAGGTAGGCCAATACATTTGTTTATAACTTAGTTGGCATCACCAATGACTGCCTTTTTTAAGAACTAAGAAGGAAAACAAAGAGCAATGGGATAGTCAAACACTTTCAAGATGCTGAAGTTTATAAACCGATTTATGGAGGCAATAGCTAAAAAACAAAAAATGTAAACAGGAAATAATAAAACTTAGTTCTAAGGTTCTCACCTCCTTCATTTTCAATCCATCAACCGGGGTCTGCAAAATAGTCAACAAAAAATCAACAATGTTACTCTGAAAACATTGAACAAACAAATGTCATTTGAACAACATGTACCATCCTTCTAAAATAAAACCAAAATCATCAAGACCACTGAAAAAAAAAAAAGAAAAAACTTTTCTTTGTCAACCTTAATATCCCCAATAACCCTATCAAGCTCTCTCATAACATTTAGTAAAAGCACACTTATTACATATTGCATAACCATAACCACTCAAATTTATGTCTTTTCTAAGAGACTCGATAACAAAAGTCTAATTCTAGGAAAAAAAAAAAAAAAAAAAAAAATCAAGTCATCCAAGCAATTTTATAAATTGTCTAATTCATCAAATACGCTCTTTTCTTTTAATCAAATACTCAATTATTCAAAGAACACTACCTTAAACAAAATATGGTCAATATTAAGTTGAATATCCTTAAAAGCCTCACGAGCCCGTTGTCTAGCAGGCGCCTGGTCCATGTTGGCATTCAAAATCCTTCGCAACTCATCACTTATACCTTTCACTGTAGCTCCCATTATTCTCCTCTTATCTCTCAACCCAACCAGCCCTTCAAAAACAAAATAATAAAATAAAAACCGAGAAAAACGGAGGCGTTTGGTTTCTGGGTAATCGAAGTACCAGCAAAAGGGTGAAGCCTGAAGAGTTTAGCAGAGTTTAAGACCATGTTTGGGATAACATTATATCAGGTTTTTTTTTTTTCATGTGGTCGTTGACAGATACTAAATGGCTAACGGGCGAGTGGGAAGGTTGCTTCAGTTTCAAATCAGAAAAACGATTCTCTTTGATTAATTTGATGGCGAGATGAAGTGGAACACGTCACTTTCTTTTCTAGACGGATTCAAAGATTCCAAACACAGCGTGACGGGTCGGGTGGTGGGATTCGATTGAGTAGAGATGTCGGTGACTGCTGATCTGTAAGTGGACACGTAACATCCGGGCACGACCACCAATTAGGGATCTGCAAAAATACAATATTATTATTATACCCTAAAATATTTTTAATATTTCTGTTCCCTGAAGTATCATAAAATAATAAATTAATTATAAAATAGAATAATGAAAATTTATATTAAAAATAGATACAAGAATTAAATTGTAAGATTTTTCTCTAAATGAAAATTTAATATATTATCCTTCTTCTAACGGATTTCAATAACAAAATCTTATGGAAAGTGGGTAATTGTTATTTCTATACTTTTTGGATACTACATTGTCTTTACGACAAACTTTGAGTAGGTGTAAGTCGTTCAGCCTCAATTTAACGATAGTATTGTTCTAATTAGTTGCAGAAATGAAGAATCATTAAAAAAAAATTCTTATACAAAAAGATGTTAATTTTTGAGAGGGTGATTATGCGACGTTTATCACTTTCTTGATGATAATGGACATAAATATAAAAAGAATTTCATAACTTAAATTAAAAGTAAACGACATGGTTCATAACTTAAATTAAAAGTAAACGACATGTTCCCACCCATGGTTCAATAAAATGACAAGTTGATACCCTTGGTTTAATTTATTTCAAATTTCCACTCTTAAAGTAACACTGTTAGCCACTGTTGGGTTCTGATACATGTGTAGAGATTGCAATTACTGAACTACCCTTGAACCTTTTGACTTCTAATTATTTAGCAATAAAAAATTGAGTGGACATGTAAAAAACCGAGAATGCCCTCGTATTCATTTTATATACTCATAATAAATTAATGAAATCACAATAATGCCCCTTTCTTTTAACTCTAAAATGCCAAATTTTAGAGATAAATTACCCTAAACCCATGAAAATAAATAAATAAAAATTCCTTACATCTTCCTGGTTTCTACTCCCTAGCGTTGTCACAACCTCTCAGGCCACTTTGGCCATTCACATTGGCGAACAAAGGTGAGGGTCCCCGGATGATGACTAAGGCCTGAGTAGCTCGATCAAAGGTAAGGGTCCCTAGATGATGACTAAGGCCTGAACAGCCCGATCAAAGTGTGAAAGTCGTCGAGGTGCCTCAGACCAGGTGGTCGCCTCCAGCCAGAGCGCAACCACCTGGCCAGCCCCCAACGTTGATCACCCCACCTAACACCACTAGCTGCTTCCCCTCGCCATCCCTATCAAAACCCCGACACCATCTATCGTCGCCCAAGTCTTCTCTCTATCGCAGTGTCGCGTGACTCCACACTGCAACTTTACATTGATGCAATCCGCCACCATCAAGCATAACAACCGAACCCTGCCGTCTATCACACACCAAATCGTGCGCCACGCATTTCTTTGGTTTTTGATTGAATTGAAGTTTGATTGAATTGTTTGTTTATTGAATTGGAGTTTGGTCGAATTTGAATTCTAATTGGTTTGTTTGGGAGTGTGATTTTTTTTTTTTTTTTTTTTTTTTTTTTTTTTTTGTGTTGCAAAATTCCAATTGGAAGATCAAGAAAAAGGGTGGAGGCCAAGTTCTTTTTTTTTTTTTTTGTAAAAGCCTTTCGGCTTTGCTTTATGATCGAGAAAGGGGTTTCTCTAGTGTTATGTAGTGGGAATGTGAGATTTGGTTTGAGCCGGAGGTGGTAGAGGAGGTAGTAGGTAGAGGTGGAGGCTTTGGTGGTGTTGGGGGAGGAGATGTTGGAGGTGGTTTAGGTAAAGGAGGAGGCTTTGGAGTTGGGGATGGTGTTGGTGGCGGGGTTGGAGGTGATATTGATGATGGTGGTGGTAGAGTAGAAAGAGGAGGTGGACTTAATAGTTCTTCTAGCCACGATGAAGGCTTTGGTGTTGGAAGAGGTGGTGTTGGTGGTCGTGCTGTAGGAGGAGGTGATGGTGGTGGGGTGGAGTCGGAGTAAATAACCATTTTAATCTATTACTATTAAAATAAATGAAACAAGAATGAAAATCTAGAATAAACGAAAATAATGGTACTAACTTGCATTTTGCTAAACCACGGGTGGGAACATGAGCATATCGTCTACTCTTTTTTTATTAATTAAGGATGGTATGAAAGATTGGTTGTTACAAAAAGCGAGTCTCGACTCTCGAGAACACAAGCATTCGTTCAATTCAAGAATTGTCAACGTCAACATTTAAGACAATCAGTTACATTTTTATGATTATAACTTACATGTGAAATAGTACTCCTAATTTATTAATGATTATATTTATGTAATTTGATTATAAAGAGAAAATGTGATTTGCAAGTTATTTATAAAAAGAAAAATTATCACAATCTATTGATATTCATATTGGAATATTGTTTGTTGTGCGGGAAATCCATAACATATACATTCCCTTTTGATATATAGATATCTCATGATATGAATCTCATAATCAATGTAAAAGATCATGTAACTCTCCAGTTTTATCGGATTTGAGTCCATCTTCAATTCAACCGTATAATTGACACTATATAAACCTAATTGTAATTTGTTCCTAAAGAGAGAAAAACTCCCTGAAAACCAATTGCAAACTCCTTGTAAATCAAATCACTGTTTCAATATATTCAATAATATAACAGTGAGTGTAAGCTTTGCATTACGAGTAATCGAACCACTTAAAAAAATCTCCTTGTTCTTTTGTGTTTTATATTGATTTATGTACATTCATCAACACATCGATCTATTGTTAATCCAATGAGATCACGCATGCATCCTATGTGATTCTTTGGTTAGTACAAATTTTTGCTTCAACATTGTTATACCTTTAAAGTTTTTTATACAAACTTTATCTATTTACAAATCGGAAAAAAAAAAAAAAAAAAAAAAAGTGTAAGCAAACAAACGTGATATCATTTAGCAGGTGTGAATGATATGACAATAAAAATGTAATACAAAAGTTTATATAAAATTTTTGTATATATAATATTCAATCTTCTTATATTAATGAAATATAAATATTTGGTTTAAGAAAAAATAAAGAAAAATTGAAATAAAATCCAGTGAGAATTATATTAAATTTAGAGAATCCTTATAAAATGAGCAAAAGATGCAAATCATACATTACATCCATGCAGTGACGAAATCAAGATTTCATCTCAGTGGGAGTAAGTGAAAAAATTTCAAATTACACCAATTCCAACCGAGTCCGGGTTTGGGCCTGATTGGGACCTGTCACTCATGGGCCTAGGACCGGTCCTAGGCCCATAAGAAATTTCAGGCCCGGACCGATCTTATAGGCCAGAAAATTTTATTTCTACCCTCAACTTTTTTTATGTTTAATAGGCCAAATAAAATTATGTAGGGCGTTTATGAATTTTTAGGGGCCTAGAAAATTTATTTCGGCTCCCTAATAAATCTTGTAAAATATCAATTTAACTCTTATATTTTTTGTCAATTTCAAAATTTATAGAAGGTTTTTTAATATTTTTCAAGGGACTTTTTTGAAAAATTGCAAAGGGGTTTGGGCTCGGGCCCTAGAGGAGGGCTCGATCTAGAGACCGATCCCTCCTCCATGAGCTTGGTCCTGGTTTGGGAACAAACCTCCTAAGGATTGGTCTTAGAACTAGTTTTTTGGGCCCATTTTTTGAGACCGGTCCCAAATGCCCAGGTCTATTTCAAATATTATCATGTATAAAAAAAAAAATACTTTTTAATTCATTAAGTTTAGTTAATAAGTATTTGTATACAAAACAATTTTGTACTTATTTTATGTATTTGATTGTTAACAAAAGAAACAAATTAAAGTTTATTTGATATTTTAGAAAAACAAAAAATAAAATAAAAGTGGTGATAATCCTTAGATTTTGATTAAATAAAGTAAAGGGATATTAATGTTAAAACATAGAGTATAAGGGTATAATTGAGAGTTTTCCAAGTTCAGTGGAGCATGAGCCCTCACTCACCCATCAGTGGCTCCGTTCCTGCATCCAAGAAAGTCTCAGAAAACGCTTGCTATAATAGTTGATGTCACACTCACACCAATTGGGCATCTTCTTTACCAATTGGACTCTCCAACTAGCTTGAGTATGTTGAATATTCTTATCTTGTTTTTAAAATATGTCAAATCACATATCCGACTGCTATTGTATTTTATTATTTAATAAAGATAAATTAATTAATTTTTTCTTATAACTTCTACGCGAACTCCGATGCAACAGTTTACCATTTATCCATTTCTTTATTAATTACTGTTGTTAGAATTGTTAGTTATTATAATTATTTACTCTAAAATTTTCTAAATTAAAATCAAATTAATCCGATGTTAATTGATTTGGTTGGGCTTCAAAAGCCCACGTAACTAACTACACTACGGGCACAGGCCGCTGGATTTTCATGGAGACCACAAAAGCTGTTACGCAATAGTTACCGCATTATTACAAAAAAAACGTGTAGCACGTGGGTGACTTTATTACCAAAAGCGGTCAAGTCACGAGCGAGGAGTTCAATATACACGTGTCAAAATCAGGAGGTGGAGGGCAGGAACCACGCGGGGAGAATAACTTTAACACGCATCCTGGGAACCAATGCGTGATTAGCGCACGGAAATAAGTTTTGCGTGATATTTATTTTTAAGAATAAAATAATGGAAATAGACAAATAAAGAAATGAAACGTTCTTGAAGTGATCGAAAAAATGGTTGAAAAATAAGAAAAAGTCAGATTTTATGAGTTGGAAAACTGATGGAAGCCAGTTAAGCCTACGGTGGATCTGAATCTCAATTTGTTCAGTCAAAGTCAAAGGCTCCTCTGACCGCGCTTTCATTTCACATCAAATCAAATTTATTTTTAAATATTAAAACTATTTTTTCAAAAGTTTCTTGTATTCTACGAAATATGGTATTCCGTATTCGTATAGATAAAGAAAACTTACAAAATTCATAAATATCTCTAAATAGTATGTAAATTATGGGTTAATTAATAAAAAAATCTGTTTCATATTTTTATTTAATTTAATTGTGCATCCTGGATAATTAGGTTTTGTTTTAGAGTTAACGGCTTTTTCTCAGCCAAATAATGATTTAATAATATTTTTTCACCCATAAATTTTTAAAATACTATTTTACTACTTAAATTTATACTCTTGTGATGAACAGAGAGCAAATTTGGTCCAAACTGTTGGAGCTTTTGAAGAAGGGAGGTCTAGAAGTCTTTTAATGGTGGAATGTTAGATTTTGGTGATTGAGATTAATCAGAATTTTGACTTGGGAGATGTGGCTACACAAACCCTAATCGCTCGATTGTTGGCAATTAGCGGAGTCGGCAGAAATAGAGTTTGAGGAGTTTTGGTGAGTGATGGTCAAGAAAAAGAATGGTGGTGATGTAGGGGTGCAACGATGCCAAAATCGGAAACAGAATATAGATTTGGGTAATAAAATTGTATTTTAAAAGCCTATGGGTGAGAAAGTATCATTAAGTCATTATTTGGGTGGGAAATAGTCATTTACTCTTTTGTTTTATGTATCATGTGATTTCAATTAATATTTAAAATATGAGTACTTTTTTCCACTCAAATAATGGTGTAATGACACTTTTTCATCCACAGATTTTAAAATATCATTTTACTATCTAAATTTATATTCCGTTTCGATTTTGACATTGTTGTGACCCCACATAACCATCATTCTCTTCCTTGATCATCACTCACTAAAACCCTTCAAACCTTACTCTCGTTGACTTCTCTAATTATCGAAAATCGAGTAATTAGGGTTTGCATAGCCGCCCCTCCTAAGTCAAATTTCGATCAATCTCAATCACTAAAATCCAACATTCTACCACCAATAGACTCATCGACCTCTCCTCTTGAAAAACCCTAACTGTTTGAATCGAGTTTGCTCTTTGTTTGCCGTTGAAATATAAATTTCAGTAATAAAGTGATATTTTAGAAGTCGTGAGAAAGTGTTATTAAATTATTATTTTGGTAGAAAAAAGCGTTTACTCTCAAAATATTTACATTGTCGAAAAGTGTTAAAATATTTATTAGTGAGTTTTCGATACTTTCATAAAGATTTTAATAATGTATCATAGGTTTTTAATTATTCTAAATGTTTATAACACTTTCTTAATAATTGTGAAAAAAATTTATGTTAACCGATATTACTAAAATAAATGGAATAAATCAAAAATAATTATCACGATACTAAGATAATACCAATTCATATGATATTACTATTTTTGGCATTTATAAGTTGTATTACTTTGGTTTGCAATTGCAAATTAAAACCTTTACTAAATATTTGGATTGGTGGTTATGAATTAATGGTTAAATAAATGTGAAACAATAAAATATTAGTTATAAAATGAATAAATTTGACTCTTTTGCTTAATTGAGTGATTAGGCAATGGTACTTGCCTTAATAAACTTTCCAATTTGTTTTCTTATATAGTTATATATGAAAGGGATAATTAGGAATATATGATTTCCTACTTGTTTTACAAGGCAAATAGTTGATGAATTATATTAGATAAGGTCACCATGTTGTGTTATTTTCAATGAGATTTATAAAGATCAACATGGAGCCTAAAATTATCAAATTACTAGACGATTATATAGTGATTTGGATAACCAACACATAATGGATACTTAAATTAGAGTGATTAATACAATAATTGATTTTATAAATATAACATGGAGAAATACTAAATCACCATATTTATTAATGAAAAAATTTCATAATTAGCTGATGAAAATAGTATTTTCCAATTTATGTGTTATATTTAATATATTTTTAATGTTATATAATTGAAGTAATAATAAAAGCCATGATTTAGTCGAGGTGCGTATAAATTGACTCGAACACCTTAATTAAAAAAAAAAAATTCTTAAACAAGTTTGGATGAATAAAGAAATATTAGATAATTTGTTTTTTTTTATAATTTACTTTTTTACACTTTTACAAAATTGATAAAATTAAAAAGTGATATGAAAATATATAGTATCTGATCATCTCAAAACTTGATAAAATTCATATAATCTTGATATAATTATCTTTAATAATCATCAAGATTACACGTCATTAATTTAGATCCATACAATGAACTTCATTAAACAGCCAAAGCCAATCAGTCCACTAAATGCAAAAACGACACCGTTAGCCGGAAATTACAAACAAAAGCACCACTATAAATTCCTGGCGAAGTAATTCTCGTTCCTCTCCCCTCCTCGGTGGCACACTCATTACAACTTCAACGATCTTCTCTCGGAGGGTTCAGGTAAAACGCGGCGTTTTTATTTCACTTCTAATTTTAGATATTTTAGATCTGGTCCTTGTACAGCCTTCGTCCACCGTTCAATTTTTATTTTTCTGTTTCAACTTCCCAGTCAAAACATTTTCACAAACCCTAGCGAGTCATAAGACAGATCTGGTGATTAATAGCTGTGTTTTCAGTTATATTTCATCATTAGTTTTTTCGTCTTTATCTATTACGCGTTTTGACTGTGTTTTTATCATCTTTAAATTCGAAATCTTATGGTGGATACACGTGCTCTGAAAATTTGAAAGTTTCGGTGATCTTTTCGGTTTTTCGAGAGTTTTTGTTTTTTGTAGTTGAGACAGTGGATGAAGTAGTTGAAAACTTGAAAGTTTTTGTTTTACAAGGTTCGGATCTAGATCTGTTGACCGGATGATTCAAATCTCTTGATTTTCCGTTTGGTTCTCGAGAAAATTCTGGATTTTCTCGGCAAAAGAACGGATTTGTAATTTTTGAATCATATGTTCTTTATTGTTGTGAAATTGAGAATTTCGATTGTGTTTTTGTGTGATTAGGCGTTTTTCTGTCGAAGTTTTCGGATTTTTGAAGATGAATCAATTGTATCATCAGAAGAACGCCTTTGGCGCGCGTGAGGAGACGCGCGGTTTTGAATTCTCTGATCAGAGGGAGTCTGTTGTTTGTCCGAAGCCACGACGAGTTGGGATTTTGGCGAGTAATTGTACTAGGCCCTTTAGATGGCAATTGAGGTAAATTTTTCTTTCGCTCTCTCTTCTTTCCTTTTAAACTTTGTTTTTATTTATTTAGAAGTTTCAGTTTTAATGAAATCGTCATTTCATTCCAGTCATCCAGTTGGGGTGTCTGATTCAAACGCCGCGGCAGAGCTTCTAGACATCATTCTCATGAAGGTAAGCTTAATTAATTGTTAAGATTTTATCACGTGGAAGGATTAGTTTTTCATTTGTTAGATGTATGACTAAGTCTATAAATATTTTATGTTTTGATTTTCTATAGGAGGGTTATGGCGTGGAACAAACAGCATCCCAGGTAGCATCTTCGCCCCCGTATTTTAGTGGGTCTCCTCCAAGTAGGGCTGCCAACCCTTTGATTCAAGATGCTCTATTTGGAGATGAAAAACTCACACCATTGCAAGTGCCAGTAGTACCATCCCCGTCTGGTTTACCATCACCTTCATCATCAGCACGTAAGGCTGGATGTACTAGAATGAAGTTCGGGCTTAAACCAGCAACTGTTAGAGTAGAAGGATTTGATTGCCTTAACAGGGATCGCCAGAATTCCAGCATCCCTGCTATGGCCTAGATTTCCATAAAAGAAACTGTACATAGAAGGAAGCTGAATGTCAACATAATTCACAAGAGCAGCAGACCTAACAAGAAGAGGGAGTTTTGAATATTTTTGGAGAGAATTAAGATGATGTGTTAAGTAGTGTATATAAATCGGTATGTGGTTTTTTCGCCAGTGATCTATCTCATTGCTAATGTCTCTGTAAGTATTTCCGATTGAACGGCAAACCTTGTGACTTGAATATTTTGGAGAGCATGGTGCTATATGTAATATATGATAAAAGTGATTAGTATTGGGAGGGTCTTTTCATTTGTTTTGTGAACGATCACCATGGAAAGAATTTGTATAGAGTCTGTGGGTGATTGAAATTTGGTCATTGATCCTGTAAATGTATTTTGGCAATTGTTAATGGCCTGGTTTGGTTATATCTTTTTCCCTCTTCCTGCTATTTTGTTACATATACATAAATGAAGAGAGTTGCTTTTTCTTGTTTCATACCCCTTTCAGATAAAAATATTACAATTGTAAGTGTTGATTATATGGAATTCTTCGTTTGCCTAACATGGATTTGATACACTTTTATTTTCCATTGCCCAATGTTTTGTTAGGAAGATGATATGTTTTTGCTTGTACTTCCCTATGTCTTTGATAGTCTCACAACTGCATTTCTCACCCAAAAAGTTTCAAAATATAATTTTATTACGCCAACGCTGAGTTTCGTTAATAATTTTCGTTAAATATCATGATATTAATTGTAAAGACGAAAATATCACTCTCTTATTCTCTTCTTAGCCTCCATTGTGGCCAAAACTATCACTTGTCGGATTAGGCCTGATTCCAGCACCATCACAACCTTTTGAAACTTCCATTAGACTTCTCACATCACCCACACGGCCACAGCAAAACCCCTCTCACTCCCGCACCGGTGCACCCTCCAATAGCCAATCAACGACCATTGTCCTTTTAGCATGCTTTCCCATCTTCAAAGCTAGATTTCGGTCGATTTCGCCAGTAGAAATCACCCCTACCATCACCATTGGAACACTTATCCTCTCATCAACAAAACTCATCCACCCATCGATAGTCTCTAGTCGTCGTTTGTCATTTGTTAACCGCACTTGTCGCGGCGTGATAGTCGCATTTTGTGACATCAAAAGTTGTTTGTGGAATTGGTTTGACAAGGAGATTGGTGGGAGATTGTTGTGTGTATTGAGAAGTGTTGAATTGGTTGAGTTTACAGGTGAATTTTCTAATTTTTCCCATCCCTAACCTTCCACGCAACTTCTGAACCTAGGCGCACACCACCTACTCGACAATTTGCTCTAACCAAAACCCAAACCTCATCAGACAACACCACCCCACTTGCTCGACCATTTGTCCCAACCAGCCTTCTCCCATCTTTCAACCTCCGACCTCCCATCTTTAAAACCCCTTAAACCCTGACACTTGGTTACTCACTAATCGTCGGCTGTGAATCGTCGCCCTCTTTCCTCGTTCATTGTTTTCTCAGCAAAGTGGAATTTTAAAATTTGATTTTTGATACAAAATGTTAATTGACCATCTTGCACTTCTTCACAACGAAATTTACTAATGGATTTATGCAGTGGGTAATAAAGTTGTATTTTGAAATTTTTTGGATGAAAAATGTCACTAAGCCATTATTTTGGGGAAAAAGTTGTTACTTCCTTACCAATTCGCTATTATTCTTTGTTGGTTTAGGTGTCTTGTTGCTGATAGCCTGACATTTAGATGTTTATGGACTAGATATACTCAGCACTTGAGAGAATATTCGACTAGGCGTGGAGCCGTGGACGGCATCTTCGTTTTGAGAAGCTGAAATTTCTTACACCATCTATTTTTGATGTTGAGCCAGTCAGCTCAAACAAAAATCAAACAGCTTATTGGCAATAATTGATAGCACAAATTACTCTACACTTTCTTGTAATTTCCTTAGTAACAAAAGCTGGTTACGAAGTGTCGAGACTGGCTCACTTGATGGGCCGAGATCAATACATACTTGTAAGCCCAAGTTGCAGTTTAATTTTTTAGCCCATGCATTTGAAACTTTGAAGTTTCCAAAATACTGAGTGATAATATATGTTAGGGGAATATGAAAGAAACTTACTTGACTCAAGAGGTTTCTAAATGGAACACTTACATCCTTTAACTTTCGAAATAAAACAACTACACCCAGGGATGTAGCTAGAATTTTTAGTCAGTAGGGTCAAAAAGAGGAATCTATTATTCAGTGTTACAATTTCAAACCCTTTTATTAAATTCAACAAAAACTCATAGCTCATGATATTCTATCAATTAAGAAAGATAAAAGAAGAGATTTCTAAGCAAAATAACAAAAATTAAGAAAGATAAAAGAAGAGATTTTTGTGAGGTTAACATAAATAAAGTGGGATTAAAATTATCAATTACTATAAAAGATGAAACTATTTTAGTTAAATTTATTTCAAATTTTCGGTGGGTTCCCATTTTCAATAAAGTGGCTGTCTTTTCTCTTACAATAAAAAGAGTCTAATATATGATATTTCTCACATGATCAAAATATTATATATATATTAAAGGATCTAATCTAAGTATATTAAACTTTGACAATTGGATAAGCCATTTGGGAAATAAAACTTTCTTCTATAGTGTTGTCCATTTTACCCTTACGACACTTCCTTTTCACCACATTATCAATTAAAAGGGTGTTAGTGTGTTTCATTCTGAAACCTATAAGTGTCGTTGTTCTTTCACTAAACCCCAGGGGTGTCCATGTAAAAATCTCATTGTTAGAGTATCAAACATGCAGTAGTCGTTCAGCCAAGTGAGCAGAAGTTTAACTGGCCATGTGAAGTTCAGCTGATGGACACGTGAAGAGAAGAAGCTGACTCTGACTCAGCAAGTTATATTGTTTATTGTGTGAGTTGCGGAAGTTAAGGCAGGTTGTTAAAACTGTAAACTAGAAGCTATTAAAGAAGACTTAATTATTGTAATTTAGTACAGCAAATATTGAAATTGAATAAAAAGCTCTCTCTGTTCTTAGCTCAATTGAAAGAAGTCTGATGTGATGATGCGATGGACATGGAAAGCCAGAACGTTATAGACTGAACGGAATGACTGATTAATGCAAATGGAAGATTAAATTTCGTGAATGGGGATCGATGAGTAATCAAGGAGTGGACTAGTTTCTTGAAATGCATATCTTGGAATAAGATGTTTAGCGGTAGGTTTTTCTAAATGTTTGATGCTGCTGTGAGCTTATATATCTCTGAGTCTGAGACTTAATATATTCATTAAATCAATATGGGTGGGTGTTAAATATGTTTAAAAACAATGCATATTCTATGCTTAAAACCATAATTTATGGGTGTCAAGACAGTAAGGCTATAAGGAAGAAAGATATTTTCTTTATTCATCTCTCTACAATTGTGGATCAAGTACAATTTTTTTTAATATTACACATCAATCTGTTAAAGTATGTAATATTTTGCTAGAAACTGGTTTGCTGTTCAAGTTTGTATTTTGGCGCCAAGTTTGAGTATGTTAAAGGCTGTCTCTCAAATGTTGTATTTGGTTGGTTTTTTGAAATTATTATGTGATGTTTTTAGGTGATGACAACCGGTGATTAAGGCCATTATATGACATTGTAAATTAGTATTAGTTAGAGTTGTTTCGAGTGCCTTGTATTTGCAAAAAGTTCTCACTCCAAGAGTTGTTGTAACAGTGAAGAATTTTGTGTTTATATTCCCCTGTTCAATGAACGAAAACAGAGCATATACATGCTGAAGTTTCTCTCTTTTCAACTCCCTCTTTAATGCATGTTAACCTTCTTTCTCTTAGCATAACCAAACTCAAAAACCTACAATTGGTATCAGAACCATCCTTGATCTTTCAGGACCAAAAAACCACCATACCTGAGCTTCCTCATGGCGTCAAACCCAACTCCATTTTCTCCACCTATCTTCAATGGTGATTAGTTCCATGTTTAGGCTGTCAAGATGAAAACCTACTTGAGAGGCCATGGTTTGTGGTAATATGTGGAGGAGGAGAGGCAAGTTCCTCAGCTTGGACCAAACCCAACGCTGAACCAGATGAGAATCCATGAATAAGAGTTAGCCAAAGCTCCAACGGCTTTGTCATGTATACACTCGGCTATCATTGACCAAGTCTTCTCCAGAATCATGGCGTGTAAGACCCCCAAAGGAGCTTGGGACATCCTCAAGGAGGAGTTTGGACGAAGTAGCTAGACTTGCAATATGCAAGTCTTAAATTTAAGAAGAGAATTTGAGGTGCTTAAGATGTAGGAGGCCGAGTCTGTTAAGGAGTATGTGGATATGCTTATTAATGTAGTAAATAAAATTAAGTTGCTTGGAGAAGAGCTGACTAATAAGAGGATAGTGGAGAAGGTCCTGATCAGTTTGCCTGAAAGATTTGAAGCAAAAATTTCATCCCTGGAAGACTCTAAAAATCTGTCCCAGATCAGCTTGGCTGAACTTGTCCATTCACTTCAAGCTCAAGAGCAAAGAGGGCTACCGAGGCAAGAAGATTCACATGATGTAGCCATGGTTGCAAGTCAGAAAGGAAGAGTATACCAAAGGGAAGACAAGAAGTATGTTGGTGAGAAGAAGGGAAAAGAGAAGAGTATTTATCAGGGAGGAAAACGTGGTGGAATGAGATCATTTCCTCCATGCTCACACTACAAAAAAAGGAACAATTCAGAAAGTAGATGCTGGTTCAGACCTGGCATACAATGCAGGTCATGCAAGCAATTCGGGCACATAGAAAAAGTATGTAAAAACAAAGGAAATCAACGAGAGCAACAGGCTCAGGTGGTGAAGATTCAACAGCCAAGTTCAGAAGCTGAGCAGGTCTTTATGGCCTCATGTTCAAACCAGAAAATGTGTGGTGATTTCTCGTTGATTGACAGTGGTTGTACAAACCACATGACTCCAAATTTGGCAAGTTTCGTGAGTATTGGCGAGTTCTATCAATCTAGAGTCAAGATTGGAAATGGAGGATTTGTGGAAGTCAAGGGAAGAGGTGAGGTTGCTATTCCAACTCCATCAGGTACAAAATACATTTCAAATGTTCTTTATGTGCCTGAAATTAATCAAAGTTTGCTGAGTGTGGGCCAAATGTTAGAAAAGAATTACTCTTTGCATTTTCAAAATATGTTATGCATTGTAGTTGAAGTATTGGTAATGAATTGAAGAGAGTGAGAATGTTAGGAAAAATTAAGTTTTCCAATTGAATAGAGAAAATCAATTTCAAAAGCCTTGTCTGCCAAATTTGATGAGACTAAAATATGGCACAAAAGGCTTGACCATTTTCATTACATTGGCCTTAAGGAGATGAAGAGGAAAAGCCTTGTCCAAAACATGCCTGAAATTGAGCAGAAAGAAGGGGTGTGCCAAATCTGTCAAATGGGCAAACTCAATAGATAGCCATTCCCAGCAAATCAAGCCTGGAGAGCTGCTGAAAAACTTCAGCTCATACACACGGATGTATGTGGACCCATGCAAGTTTTTTTCTTGAATGGCAGTAGGTATTTCCTCCTATTTATAGATGACTTTTCTAGGATGTGCTGGGTATATTTCTTGAAGCAAAAAGGTGAAGTGGTAGCAATGTTCAAGAAATTCAAGCAAATGGTGGAGAATCAAACTGGTTTAAGTTTGAAAACAATTAGGAATGATAATGGTGCATAATACACCTCAAACTAGTTTGAAGAACTACGTGTGGGAGCTAGAATAAAGCACCAACTGAGCAGTCCATACACACCACAACAAAATGGTGTGAGTGAAAGAAAAAACAGGACTGTAATGGAGATGGCTAGGTGTATGCTGTTTGAGAAAAAACTTCCTAAAGGTTTCTTGGCAGAAGCTATAAATACAACATTATATTTGTTGAATAGGCTGCCAACTAAAGCTCTTGGCAACAAAACTTCATTTGAGGCTTGGTATGGAGTAAAGTCAAGCATTGGCAACCTCAAGGTGTTTGGAAATATCTATTATGCACACATTCTAGCCGGTAAGAGAAGTAAACTAGATGAGAGGGCTGAAACTGGAATACTGGTTGGGTACATCAACTTGTCTAAAGCACATAGGATTTATAATCCTAAGACAAAAAGGTTTCTGGTAAACCGAGATGTGAAGGTAGATGAAGCCTCTCTGTGGAACTGGGAAAGAAATGAAGTTGATAAGAGTGGAATGCTAGAGCAAAGAGGAGATCTGATAGACAACCAAGAAGCTTCAGATTTCAGCTCAGATTCTGAAGTAGACTCTCCAGTTAGGGGCACAAGGACTTTGGTAGAGATTTATGAGAAATGTAACATGGCTTTGATAAAGCCAACATGCTACTCTGAAGTTGCCAGAGTAAAATAGTGAAGGGCAGCAATGGAAGAGGAGCTAGGCATGATTGAGAAAAATGCCACTTGGGAACTAGTGGACAAACCAGTTGGGAGGAAAGTTATTTAGGTGAAATGGATTTATAAGAAGAAATTGAATACAGATGGCTCAGTCAATTGATATAAAGCAAGGCTTATAGTAAAGGGTTATGCACAGCAGATTGGAGTGGATTTTTCTAACACTTTCGTACCTGTAGCAAGGCATGACACAATAAGGCTTCTACTTGCACTTGCAGCCCAATTCAAGTGGAAAATTTTCCAACTAGATGTGAAGTCTACCTTATTAAATGGGTGGCTTGATGAAGAAATTTTTGTAGAGCAGCCTGAAGGGTATGAAGTTGAAGGGCAAGAGGATAAGGTGTATCTCCTTAGGAAGGCCTTATATGGCCTGAAATAGGCTCCTAAGGCCTGGTACAGCAGGATTAGTGAATATCTGGTTAGTTTGGGGTTTGCAAGGAGTCCAAATGAGCATACCCTATATGTTAGAGANCTTTTGTGTATGTGTTTCATACTGAGAAAATTAACTTGGTTAGACTGCTAATTGCGATTAAAATTTAAACATTAACCATTGCCTTCTCTGAGCTAATAATATTAACCTCAGTGGCTGGCTTTTAAAAATTTTTAACTCGGGAACTTTAAGTCTGAGCTTATTATATTGGCAATAACCAATCGGTGAGCTCTCGATTCCTCCATCAGTGGATGAAGTAGTTGAAACTTGAAAGTTTTTGTTTTACAAGGTTTGGATATAGATCTGTTGACCAGATGATTCAAATCTCTTGATTTTCCGTTTGGTTCTCGAGAAAAATTTGGATTTTCTCGGCAAACAAACGGATTCGTAATTTTTGAATCATATGTTTTTTATTGTTGTGAAATTGAGAATTTCGTTTGTGTTTTTGTGTGATTAGGCGTTTTTTTGTGGAAGTTTTTGGATTTTTGAAGATGAACAAACGAAACACAGTAGTGAGAGAGTGACTGTTGAACATTGATACTTGGCTGGAAATGAAGCAGTTTACTAAGTGTTTTTGAATATGTGTTAGCGGCAAAACTGAAAGGCAATCTGCCAGGGGTCCATTTGATATGCTGCAAAGTTTAACTTATTTTGTAATGGTAGATATGTATTCCAGATTATAAGGGATGTGCTGCAATAGTTGTTGTTAGTTGGTATTAAGTGTGTGGCTTTAGATTAATTCAGGTTATTATATGACTGCAAAGTTGGTGCAAACGGTGTAATATTTTGCTTTATTAGTTGTAACGTAAACTCATTTGGTAATGCAATAGAAAGATAACTTTCTTCATTCCAATTCAGCTCTCTTTCTTTTCTTTGTTATCTCCGGTGTAAAAACATTAACATGGTATCAGAGCTGAGTTAATTCCAGCAAAAACTCTGAACCTTTCTTCTCCAGAATAATTCATCTACCTCTCCGGAAAACAGCCTTTCATTAGACCTGTTTTTTCTTGAACAAATGACCACTCCAACAGCTTCCATTCTACCTCCTGTGTTCAATGGTGAACACTACCATATATGGTCCGTTACAATGAAGCTTACTTGAGGGGCCAAGGACTCTGGCAATATGTAGAAGAAGAGAAACAGCCCCTCAGCTGGGACCAAATCCCACTCTCGACCAAATTCCAATGCATGAAGAGGAAGCTTCAAAGGCTCCCAGAGCCTTCTCTCACATTCACTCAGCTGTCACAGACCTTGTTTTCACAAGGATTATGGCATGCGAAACAGCCAAAGAATCATGGGACAAATTGAGGGAAGAGTTCATGGGAAGTGATACTACAAGAAACATGCAGGTTCTAAATTTGAGAAGGGAGTTTGAAACATTAAGGATGCAGGAGGTTGAGAAAGTGAAGGAATATGTTGATACTTGATAGGCTGATGAACATTGTCAACAAAATCAGATTACCTAGAGTGGAGATGTTAGATAGCAGAATAGAGGAGAAGGTGATGGTGAGCTTGCTGGAAAGGTTTGAGGCTAAGATCTCATCCTTGGAGGACCCAAAAAACCTGACTCAAATCACATTGACTGAGCTGGTCCGTGCTCTGCAAGCACAAGAGCAGAGAAGGCTCTTAAGGCTAGAGGATGCAAATGAAGGGGCAATGTTAGTAACTCATAAGGGCAAGTTTGTACAAGGGAACTGCAGAAAGTTTGCTGGAGAAAAGAGAGGAAAAGAAAGGTCCAATAACCACTAGAACAAAGCTAGTGGAATGAAGAATTTTTTGGCTTGTTCTCATTGCAAAAGAAAGGGACATGCAGAGCACAAATGCTGGTTTAGACCTGGTATACAGTGTAGGGCCTACAAACAGTTTGGCCATATTGAAAGAGTGTGCAAAAACAAGGGAGAGCAGTCCCAACAACAAGCTCAAACAGCTGATTAACAATAACCAGGGCAGGAGACTGAGCAACTGTTTGTGGCCTCATCCAACTTGATCCAAGCTTGTGATGATACCTAGTTGATTGACAGTGGATGCACACATCACATGACACCAGATTTGAGCGGCTTTGTGAACATAGATCATTCTTATCGGTCAAAGATTAAAGTTGGAAATGGAGAATGTGTGGAAGCAAGAGGTAAATGAGATGTTGCAATTCAAACTCCAAAAGGTACAAAACTAATCTCAAATCTACTTTATGCACCTAATATAAGTCAAAGTCTTTTGAGTGTGGGAAAAATGTTGGAAAAGAATTATGCACTACACTTTCAAAAACAATCCTGCATTATTCAAGATAGTGAGGGAAATGAGATTATGAGAGTGAAATTGGTAGGTAAAAGCTTTCCAATTATGTGGAGAGTTACACCACACAAAGCATGCAATGTTAGAGAGGATGAAACTAAAATATGGCACAAGAGATTAGGCCATGTACATTATAGAAATCTAAGGGAAATGCAGTAAAAAAATTTAGTCCAAAATCTGCCTATTGTAGAACAACCGAGAGGTGTCTGTAAAGTGTGTCAATTAGGCAAGATGAGTAGGAAACCCTTTCCAGTGAATCAAGCCTGGACAGCTTCTGAAAAACTCCAACTTGTTCACTCGGATGTATGTGGCCCCATGCAAACCTTATCACTTAATGGGAGCAAGTACTTTGTATTGTTCATAGATGATTGGTCTAGGATGGGCTGGATTTACTTTCTAAGGCAGAAAAGTGAGGTGGCTGGAGTATTCAGAAAATTCAAACTGGAAGTAGAAAACCTGACAGGAAAATCCATTAAAACCTTGAGAAGTGATAATGGCATTGAACACACTTCTCAAGAGTTTGAAAAAATTTTGCATAGAAGCTGGAATTAGACATCAATTTAGTAGGCCTTATACTCCACAACAGAATGGAGTTTGTGAGAGAAGAAACAAGACAGTTATGGAAATGGCAAGATGCTTGATGGCTAAGAAAAATCTTACCAAATTCTTTTGGGGAGAGGCTGTAAACACAAGTGTCTACTTACTCAACAGACTTCCCACTAAAGCCTTGAGTAATCAAACACCTTTTGAAGCTTGGACTGGAGTCAGACCAACAGTGGAAGAGTTGAAGATTTTTGGTAGCATATGCTATGTCCTGGTGCCACCTGCAAACAGGACAAAGTTGGAGGATAAGGTAGTGATAGGAACGTTTATTGGTTACAGCAACCAATCCAAAGCCTACAGAATTTACATTCCTGACTCAAGGAAAGTGGTGGTGTCCCAGGATGTTACAATAGATGAGAGTGGAGTTTGGAATTGGGAAAAGTGTAGAGCTGATGTAGAAACAAAACCTCAACTGAGTGAGGTTCAAGCTAATCAGATTGAAGAAGACTCAGGGGAGGAATCAG